TGCGCGCCGAGGATAATTAGAAACAGGAGTCACATAAATTTTTGCAAAAAGCATCATTGCCTCTGGTAAAGAAGAGTGTTTCGAGTATTTGCTGATGTTGCAATTATACTGTTCAGTTGGCACCATTTTCTCTGGTAAAGAAGTGTTCCAAAAGGAGACTGCTGTAAGTATCGCTATAGGTATCGTGCAAATCATACTGTTCAGTTGTTTCGGGTCTTGAGCTTTGCCACCACATACTCTAGGGCTGCCCCCAGGCTAAGCATGCCACCTTCGTGGACTAACCGAACATGGCAGCCTGTGTGGTCCAACACCATCTCTATGACTATACAGCCTATGCTCCCGTATTGCTAGCAATCAAAACTAATGTGGTCTGCTGGCATGTTGAGTAGGTTGTTCAGATAGTTGAGCGTTCCAAAAAAAATACATGCTTGCCAGCAATTCACCCATCTTCTCTGGCCACACTTTGACTTCACCCGCGATAGTCACTAGAGAAGTGGCTTCTTTATCTACCCCTACCTCACCAGAGCATACAACTATCTTCGACTGAACTCGAATAAGCCCAAGGCTCTTCTCTCCAATTAGCAAAATGTCCGTCATCCCGTGAAAGGGAGTTGCGTGTATACACTTCACAGATCGTGCTGATTTCAGCCTGGAAGCTGTTTGGTTTCCATAGAAAAGCAGGTACCACGTTAACTCCCGTGATTTCATGCTGGATGAGTCGCTGCGACCACACCTCCTCGTTCCAATCCCAGGACACAAGCTCTTCAGTTTTCCACGCATACTCCGTCTTATCTTCACACATTCTTTTCAGGTCATCCTTGGCGTACACAAATGGTTTGATGTCCATTGTGCACTCTAGTCACCATGGGAGATTTGTCGAAAGTGAAAAAACTTCTTGCTGCAGACCACTTAAATGCACTGCAGGGCACTGTCTTGGAGTACACGTGTACATAACCGATAGGCAGATGATAAATGGTATTGGCTTCATGTGGGATCCCAAGTACATGGTGTCAGTTCATGATCGAGATTGGGGTTCTCAAAGACCTCAAGGGGATACGAACTGGCGCTGGGATGGCCCTCATGTTTAAACGTGAGTGGAAAATTCGCCCAAAAAAAGACATGGGATTTCTCCCTTCACCAGTCCCTGCCCCCCAAGCCTAGTCACGGTCTGGACCCCCGGGCGGTCAGCCCACAGGCCCAGCCACCGGCGGACGGTTCGTGGCGTCAGCTGTCAGCCACAGCAGCAAGCAAGCCCACACAGTACATGTAGTAGACTAGCAATTGTCGCAGTCTTCCATTCCTCTGGACAAGCAGTAACCTAAGCAACCACACGCACCCCCCACACACACTTCACGGGGCGGGCCAGGCGTTCCCACCAGCCACATGGCATAGCTCTAGTCTGGGCAATAGTCAAGGCTGTAGTTGAGTCATTAACCCCGGTCTTAGCTTTGTCTGACAGTAACTCTGCCACTCCCCACAGCTCTCGGTGTCCTTCCACCATCCGGAGCCTCGCCTCAGTGCCCATATTCTCGGCGGCTGGTGTTTCCCTGCCAACGCTTTTGACAACAGACTCGATCTCAACACATGACAGTCACACCGGCCCGTCAGCTGTCTCAGGCATTGTCCCCGCCTCACACCCGGACCAGGCGGTAGTCCTGTCATCTGCTCTACCTCCCATCTCGGCGATGGCGAAGTTCAGGTCTGGGCAGTATGTCTCTATGAAAGACTTGCTAGTGGACAACCCTTTGCGTGCAACTAGAGACACTGCCAGGACCCCACCATGTCTATGCTGGCCTGCCGAAGCCCAGACTGCGCGAGATTCAATCCCCTCTGACATGGATGTCGTGTTTCTTGGCGTATGTCTTCGTGCTAACGCCTGACACCAGGACGCGCGACCTCCTGACATATGGGCGCTTGGTGCTCAGAGAGGCCCAGCGTCTTGGCGGCCCTGGCTGGCTGGAAGACGACAAAATTTTCAGGCAACATGCCGCTCTGGACCCGGCAGTTAAGTGGAATGAGCCAGCCTACATGCCTCCACCGTGATGACCTACTATCGGTCTGGACCAAGCCAGTGCTTGGCTTATGTCATGAGCCAGACCACGACGCAGCAAACTGTGCCCGATTAGGCCTCCAGTCTCAGCCGCAGTGGGGTACCTCCTGCGGTCAGGGGAGCAATGGAACGCCCAGTTCCAACGCGTAGACTCAGCAGACATATTATGGTCTCATGCCCAGTATTAGCCTTTACCTGGGGACAATAATGATCCCTCGCATGCCTCTATTAGCCCATTATCATACACTGTCGCCATGCCTGGATTCAACTATGTCTTTCAGATCCAGCTGATCAAGTTGCCAATGTCAGCAGTCGATACCTGTACATGTCGGACCTTCAGGCCTTGGAAGCAACAGCCACCCATGCTGGGCCGAAATGCTCCCAGGCGGCCACTCCCCTTCAATTAGCCCAGTGGGATGAGGCTCTAGCTGAGCATCCAGACCAGTCGTTTGCCCGCTACATACGGACAGACATCCGGGATGGCTTCCACATCGGGGCAGACCAGGCAAAGTTGTCTCTGCTGCCAGGTCCCGGCAATTTTCCATCGGTCTACAGCCTGGTGCAGGCCCACATTGCAAAGGAGTTAGCCGAAGGTCGCCTCCTGGGGCCTATCCCAGAGCACTTAGCACCCCTGTGCCATACCAGTCCCATCGGTCTAATTCCCAAGCCGCATCAGCCTGGGAAATGGAGGCGGATAGTCGATCTGTCCACCCCACCTGGTCACAGTGTCAACGACGCCATTGCCCCAAAGGTGTCAAGGATGCGATACACCTCAGTGCTGGACACAGCAGCTATGATCAGAAACCTCGGCCCAGGCACACTTATGGACCTGCAGAACGCCTACAGGGTGCTGCCAATCCACCCAGATGACCACCCCCTCCTGGGAATAAGTTGGTGTAACGCCATCTTCATTGACACGGCCCTCCCTTTCGGCCTCCGTTCTGCACCAAAGATATTTTCGGCATTTGCTGGTTACCCTGGAAACATGCCTCTCGCCAATGGACGTTGCAGTGGACAATCACCAACCCCTCTATGGTAAAGGTCCACCTGAAGCAAAGTAAGACTGACCCATTTAGACATGAAGTCGACATTTTCTAGGTCGAACCAATGCAGACCTTTGCCGACAAACTGCCATCATGGCGTATTACTCCATACGTCACCAGTGCCTGGTCCTTTTTTCGTCTATATGGATGGTTTCCCACTAACCAGGGAGAGACTGGTGACAGCTGTCAGAGAGGCTCTAGCCCGGGCGGGGGTGGACGCTTCCCACTATTCGGGGCACAGTTTTAGAGTGGGGGCAGCAACTACTGCCGCTCAAGCTGGGTCACTGGGTTGCCACGTGTCAGTCTGTGTCTCTGCCAGCTCGCAGTGTGCTGGTCAAAAGTTGTTACCCACCCAACCAACTCCCTTATTATTGGCTTTAACTATGTGAGGGCTGGATGTGTGGCAGTGGTGGTACATGCTCAATGCCCTATTAACAAGTGACAACTGTCTATATAACAGGGTTTAGGCCAGTGGACCTGGCACCCAAGGGTATAGCTTGCATGGCAGTGATTGACAGCTCACGTGACCACCTGTCACACGCCCCATCCGGCTTTCACATGTACTCCCATTACCTCTTTCTACATATTATCAGTAGTACTGGAGGTTAGCTATACTGTGTGTTGCATCGAGAATAGGTTCGACTGGTCGAACAGCCGCACAGCGTTTACGCAGGTGAATAGATTAATTCATAGCAAAGTTGTATATATAAGACATTTAACAAGGTGGTAGTGTATATGCACAGATTAATGTTTAAGTTCAGGTCAGGCACGCATGGACTAAATGAGGAGCTGGGGGACGCAGGGGATGAAGGAGTGCCTGTTGTGTGATGACGAGTGTGCAAGTGTTGTGGGAGTGTCCAGCATTATAGTATTCTTAGGGGAAATTTGTTAGTTGCCCTGCAGGGGAAGCTTGGGAATGGGTTTGAGCTTTTCTAGCAGCTCGATGGTTCAGAAGGCATCCTTTATTTTAGGTGTGAGCTGTGGTAGGATAAATTTGGTTCTCTGCTTGCCTTGTTAAGGGTTTATTTTAGATTAGGTTATACGGTCATAGTCCCAACGTTCAACAGCCCCAGTCTCAGAATGCGTCTGGGGAGCTGCAGGGTGTCACTGGTCAAAGGGGTGAGGTGTCTGGGAGGTGAGACAGACACCTGTGTAGGTGTATGTTCAATGGGTGTGTGTCCGTTTGTTAATGGTTCCGCCCATTGCTCTGAGTGCGTGGTCAATCACCCTCGTGCTATGGGTGCCACCTGAGTATTATTATTATTGTCAATTGATTGGTAGTAAAATCTAGTCTCTTTAAGACCGATCATCTTGATTTTTTTACCTATCTCCAAACGAATAACAAGTGAATTTACTCAGTAATGAGCCATGTGATCTGCAGGAAGTAACGTTTGTTAAATACAGGAGTGCATTCTAACAGGACAATCAAAAAATGACAAGTAGGCCATCAATTCAGATTTAAGAAGAAACTGGTTTTCTTCTCACCAGTCAATGTGCTACTTCACTAAGATACCCGTGCTTTGCCAACCCGTTCTTGCTGGTATTATTCAAAACCAACAAATCTGCATCTTTAATGTTCATACTGGTCTTGTAAAATATTGTTTCTGGGTACATCTTAAATTGTTTGCCTGCCACAAAAGTAAACGATTATGACATTGGGACTTATCTTTCTTCAGCCCAAAAGTTGGGTATTGAAGGTTCCACACCGCCATTTTGCCAAGCTAGGGATTAGTTTCGGCATGCTGTGCATGCATTATTATTTTGAGTGTGTATGTGCAGTAGGGGTAATGGAATTTGTGCCGTCTCTATAATTATGTATGTACATTTTGAAGAGATCTTTTGCATAATGAGTCAGTCGCCTTAGGCATGCACAACCCAATACTCTCGTGGCTTATAGGAGTTCCTTCGAACTCTCTCTAGTTATTCAAGACTAAAAAGGATAATACACAACAGTATTGTTAAAGCAAATTGTAATGCAGTGAATTCCATTTTCACTTAATTTATGAAGAGAACCACTCTGTAGTCCTTTCTCGACCAACAGCATGCATGCAATAGGAAACTGAAAAAACAAAGTCACTGGAGAGGTTTTCCAACCAATGTACTGCAAAAGAAATGGTTGCTCCTTTAGGCTGCAGATCGTACAGAGGTCAAGCTTGATAGCTGATACCATCCCTAGATCAATCTTTTTCAGTGCATCAGGTAATGAAAGCTTCAACACCACACTTCCTTCCCTCATTGTTAAGGCACAACGTGGATTCCCAACTGTAATTTGTGGCACATAAGCTGATATCAGGGTGAGCAAATCTCCTCGTTTTAACCCACTTAGGGAATGAATGAGAACATCCACGTCTCTAGCAGTGCATAAATTAGCAGTTACAAGTGAGCTCAAAAGACCGTTCACAGTTTTATGATGATACAGGTAGTCTGACTTTATGAATGCAGAACCATCTGGGCATTTAAGATTAAGGAGAAAGTGCTGCAGTTCGGGGAAACAGCTTGACCCCAACTTTTCAGCAATGGCAGACAGCAATTTTGTAAAGACAATTCCTTCATGATTAATGTTTTGGTGAAAGTCATCTTCATTATTTTCTAGAGAAACAAAATTAGCAGTGTAGATGATAAAAATGAAAACACTAATGTGCAAACCCTTGGTGCAAGGAACGTGCACATGTGTTGTGAATCACATGGGCATGTAGCACTGTTAATTGATTGGCATGGGCCACGGAACGCGGTCCAACTCGCAAGTTTCACTATAACATAGGCTATTTGAGCAAAGCTGGAGTAGATACACATCCTCTCAGTAACTTCATCCCTCTACGGTGCACTCAACAGGCTAAAACTGGTCGAGGTAAGCAAGTGATTATTGCTTCAGTTGGTCTTCATGCTTGTTTCGCCTATTATACGTACATAGTTCACACTTTTGTCATAGCCACCTCGTCGACTGTAGAGCAGGAATAGCCGTAGACAGACAGACAGACTGTGACACATGCATGCACATATGCACACACGCACACACACACAGTATTTTTATGAAGCCAGTGTAGCAACACGTTACTATCAACCAATTTCTTTTTCACTCACAAAAATGAAGTACCATAACCCTTGCTGTGGTGAGGGTTAAAACCTCACCTAAAGGCGAGGGCAACTCAGCTGATAGGAGTCAAAACAAAGGCAAACTTCATACCACGGTGCTATGGCACAGTATACTCTCACTCAGTTTAGTTAAAATGCTCAAATTAAAACAATATTTCTCTCTTCATGCCTTGGCCAATCGCGTAAGTCAATAGCAAGGTGTAAAGATGCTTTGGCCTACGCAAAATCCAGAAAATCCCAGGCGATGTAGTGCCCCGGCAAGCCAACAATGCAACTACATCTAGGAAAGCTTTTTTCCAAGTGAAAATGAGCTGCTCTGGATTGTTTTAAAATTCACAGAACTGGGCAGAGCACTGTAGCTGACGAGCTAAAAGGGCAGCTCCGCAAGCAGGGGTACAAAGGAGCACCTCAAACAACTGTACTATAAGCATGTACATCAAAGCTCTCCCAATAAAATAAAGTGAAAAAGCTGTGTACCAGGATTTTCCTTGGAAACATACCTCGAGTGGCAGCTAGTTTCTAGTTCTGATTTCGAAAGCTTTTTTAATTGCTTGAAGTTATTGTATTCTGCTACTTCTGTCGATGTGTGGAGGGAGAGGAATCTACCAGCTACCGTTATGTACTACTCTTGGAGGTCTTTGGCAGCCTATTTTCAAACTGCAGCGCGAATTCCAATTAATGCCCACCAATGACAGCTCCCCGGACTAAGTCTGCTCAAGACTGGGTTGTGAGTTGCAATAAACGGGCTAGGGCGAATATCATTTTGTGGGGAATGCCTAAAAGCTTGTCAGCGCTGGAAATACGGGCGAATGTTGCGGATATAGGATTAGTCGGTTTCTTTAGGGGAAGCGTTGCTTGGGAGGGCCATCATGTCAGGTTAGTGTTACTGCATAAGGATAGTAAGGGCCTTAGTAAGGTGGTTGTGGCGCAAATTTAAGCCGGTCTTCGGAAGATTTGGTGTAGATGCGTGTTAGATGAAACGTCTGCCCTGTTAAAGAGGCTGTACACGTTGGCGTTCAGTGTGTTTTAATAGGTTTTTTCAGCTAGCTGATAGTGTGGACGAGTGAGTGTGCAGCTGGTGTGCCTGAAGGCAGTGAAGTGAATCTTTCAGTTGTTAGTGAGAGGATGAGTGGCCAAGGCAAAAAGGACAGAAAATATTTCAGGCCTTTGTAGTGAGCGTAAACAGAGAGAGGTAGGGGAGCTTTTGCAAAGGCTCAAGATTGATGTAGTAGCTGGTCAGGAATCTTGGGAGAGGGAGGGAAAGGCATTTTCTGTTGATGGCTATAGATGGTTTGGAAAGCCTCGTGAGAATCAGAGGAGTCGGAAGGATGGGTTGGGTTCTTGGTTCGGGAGTGTTTGATAGACAAGGTAGAGTTTGTAAGTAAAGTCAGGTATGAGGAGAGCGTGTGGATGAATGTTCGAGGTGGAAGAGGGAGGGAAGCATTGTATGTGTGCTGCTTGTGCTTCTGTTATTGAGGATAGTTACGTCAAGTTGAAGGAGGATGTGCTTAGATTCATGTAGAAGGGGAGGGTTGTTCTCCTTCGTGATTTTAATGCGAGGGTGGGTAGATCTACTGATGTTGATGATGCCATTGGGATGTTTGGGGAGGAGACTTGTAATGCCAGTGGAAATAGGCTGATTTCATTCTTGAGGTGGAGCTGTAATGGTAGGAAGTGTCGGAGCCTGAGTGGACTAGAGTAAGGCCGAGCCTGCAGCAGAAATCAGTGATAGTTACGGATATGCAGTTGATTAGGGAATCTGGTGATGTACAGGTTAGTATAACTGATTTTGGTGCCTCGGATCATTTTCTAGTGTGGCTGGAGTTGGGCCGGGTTACGAAATGTTGTAAAAGGCTGAATCGGACAATAAGGAAGTGGCGTGTAGACAGATTTTCAGATGAGGGGGTTAGAGCAAAGTATAGTGAGGCCTTGAAAGTGGAGGTTGAATCATCAGGGAGAAAGTGAGTGAGGATATTAGTGGAAGTGGATTAGTCAGTGCAGTTGTAGAGGAGTGGGAGCAAGTTGTAAAAAATGTGGCAAGGGCTGAGGTAGGAGAGAAGGTAGTAGTGTGTGTCAGGGCAGTCAGGTGGTGGGATGACGAGATTAAGCAGAAGATAGAGCAGAGAAGGGAGGCTTACAAGAAATTCTTGAAGGTCAGGACTATCTATGGGAGGAATATAGTAAACTGCGCAGGGAGGTGAAGAATTTAGTTGTTCAGAAGAAGCTTGAGGTTTGGAATGAGGTAGTGGAAACAGCAAATTCAGATTTTGAAGGTAATAGGAAAGAATATTTGGCATTTGTTGCTAGAAGGACAAAGGGTAAGAGGAGGGGGATTACAGCTTTGAGGAATAGCGCTGGGTGTCAGTGATGAGTACAAAGGGCAAGTTAGAGGTGTTAAAGAGGCATTATCAGCAGTTGGGCACTTGTAGTGTTGATACAGCCTTGATGATAGTTGGGAAAGAGGAAGTGGATAAGAAAGTGTGTGAGTTTCCAACAGATTGTATGGAAAATGTGTTGGATGGGGAAATACATTTGGAGGAGATTGCATTGTGTGTGGTCTATGGAGATGTTCATTAATATTGTTTGCTTTAACCAAACATAAAGGTTTGTCAATTTTTCAGTTTGAAGGTAATAGGAAAGAATTTTGGGCAATTGTTGGTAGAAGGACAAAAGGGTAAGAGGAATGCGATAACAGCTTTGAGGAATAGTGCTGGGGTGTCAGTGACTAGTACAAGTGGAAGTGTTAAAGAAGCATCATCAGCACTTGGGCACCTGTAGTGTTGATAAAGTGGATAACAAAGTGTGTGAGTTTTCTAACCTTCCAGCAAATTGTGTGGAAATTGTATTGGAGGGGAGTTGTGTGTGTGGTAATGATGGGCTTGTGGGGGAGCTTCTAAAGTGTGGTGGGTCAGGGATGGTAGAGCTACTTAAACAGTTGTTTACAAGTTAATTGGCGTTGAGGAGTTTGTGCCACCACAGTGGAGGGAGGGCCTCATAGTTAACCTGTTTAAGAAGGGAGATAAGGAGGATCCTGGGAATTATAGGGGTATCACTCTGCTGAGTGTGGTTAGGAAGGTCTTTTGTGAACAATAGGTTGATGAAGCATCTGGACGAGGGCAAAGCATTGCATGAGGGCCAGGCTGGTTTTAGGATTGGAAGGGGTTGTGTTGATAATATTTATACGCTGAGTAAACTCGTGCAGGGTACACTAAAGGAGGGGAAGGAGACATATGCATTATTTCTAGATGTGCAGAAGGCATACGATAGTGTGTGGCGTAACGGCCTGTGGTTTAAGTTGTGGGAATTTGGGGTAAGAGGGAAGATGTGGAGGGTCATAAAGAAGATGTACGAGTATTCAAACAGTGCTGTATTGTTGGATGGGGAACGGTCAGAGGCATTTGATGAGGAACAGGGATGTAGCTTATCACCAATTTTGTTTTTCTGTATTTATCAATGGGTTGTTGAGGGAGTAGAGGAAGCTGAGATTAAGTAGTGGTGGGAGACTTGGAGGACGTTTGTTTGCAGATGACTTCATTGCTGTTAGTGAGTCAAAGGATCAGTTACAGACGCTTATAAATGTGGTACATGCCTACTGTAGAAAATGGAGGCTAAAGGCTAATGTGAGTAAGAGCGCAGTGATGGTGTTCACTAGGGAGTCAGTGGATGGTGCTTGGAAAAGGGGGGAGTATGTTTTGCCTAGAGTATCTAAATAAACATACTTGGGTGTTTTACTAATACTGGTGCATGGGATGTGCATATCAAGAATGCGTTAGACAATGGTAGAAGGAAGGTTAATCAGTTGCATAGTGTAATTAGTAATAGGGATATTAATTCGAGTGCTCGCAGGTTGTTGTTGCTGGCGGTGGTTAGGCCAACTTTAGAGTATGGGAGTGAGGTGTGGGAAGCCAATAAGACTCAGGCAGCTGCGTTAGAGTCCGTGATGCTGAGAGGAGCTAAGCATATTCTTGGGTGTTTGTCTAAGACATGTAATGAGCCGAGTGGGGATATGGGGCTTGATACGTTACAAGGGCGTAGGGAGAAAAATATGTTGAAGTGGTGGTATAAGTTAGCGGCATTGCCAGGCAGTAGGTATCCGAAGAAGCTTTTTAACCAGGAATGGAATTTTAAGCCACGGAGAGGCAGGTAGAGGAAGTGTTGGAGTAAGGTCATTGATGATCACTTTTCATCACTAGGTCTTGACAAGGCAGAGTGGTTGCATGATATTCAAAATGGGGATTGCTCCTTGAAGGGCTTTTTATCAACAGTATTAATGAGAGGAAGATTAGAAAGTTTGAAGAGGGGCTAAATAGCAAAGTAAAGCTGTTAATGTATAAGACATTTAACAAGGTGGTAGAGTTCAAAAAGTACTTGCATGGGAATAGTGATGCTGGGTCTAGATTATGTTTAAGTTCAGGTCAGGTACGCATGGGCTAATGAGGAACTGGGTAGGCATAGAGGGGATGAAGGAGTGCCTGTTGTGTGATAAAGCGTGTGAAAGTGTGAGTCATGTGTTTGGATGTTTGGGAGCTAAGAAAGGTAAGGTTATACGGCGATAATCCCCGCGTACAACAGACCCAGTCTCAGATTGCATCTGGGGAGCTGCTGGGTGTCGCTGGTGGAAGGGGTGAGTTGAGGTGTCTGGGAGGTGAGACAGACACCTCATGTTCATATGGTGTATGTTAGTTTGTTAACGGTTCCGTCCATTGCTCTGGGTGCGTGGTCTATGGCCCTAGTGCTATGGCAGCCACCTGAGTATTATTAAATAAAAAATCCTGCGGATTAAAAAAAGAGTGCATATAGGGATCGTATAAAAAGAAAGAGAGACAAGATAGGGATGGTGTTTGTGGAAGCACAGAGATGCTAGCGAAGAGTTATATAGGACTCCCACAGGTCATTACAACAGCCCTATATCGTCGTACGGTGGGAGTCCTAGCATCATAGATGTATGGGGCTATGATAGGGACAGTTTTCAATCTTCGTAGGGTGGGAGTGGGAGTGATGAGAGAGTCTGTAGAATATTGCTATAGGTAATGAAGTCCTTACTAATTACCTTTGATAGATTTGTCATGCTACATTTCCATGGAGTGCGCATTTTGGTGGAAGTGTAATCAGCTTACCATAACATAGGATATACATGTCTATACACATGGAAAAACATGGAAAAATTGTGTAACGCAAGAAAACAAAATTCAAGTATGCAAGGTTGGCTGATATATTCACGAGGAAGTAGTAAAGCACCTATACGACGATATAGGGCTGTTGTAATGACCTGTGGGAGTCCTATATAACTCCTCACTAGCATCTCTGTGCTTCCACAAACACCATCCCTATCTTGTCTCCCTTTCTTTTTATACGATCCCTATATTATGCACTCTTTTTAATCCGCAGGAATTTTTATTTACTTGTCTCCACTCATTTTTATATACTAATACGTATTATCTCTGTGGAAGGGGGCAAGCCCCTATCAAAATTAATAATAGAGAAAAAATGCCTGTTGTCGTCATGGAAATAATATGCATACCATGTTTCATCTCCATGTGTGCTGTAGTTAGCAAGTTTGAGGAGTGAAGTAAGTTTAAAGAAAAGCGCCTGAGGCTATTTGAGACATGTAAACTATAGGCAATATGGACTACATCATTTGATCATTACGCATGCACTCATTTATAATAATCATGTAGCTGACTAGGAAGTGCGCTCCACATAAACCTGTTGTACTATTGCCCTTCGTGGAGGAGGACAGAGGGGAGGTGGCCGGCAGGGCTCAGGATGTCGAGAACACAGGCAAGGATGCCGGCAGGGCTGCGTGCGACCATCTTGCCGATTTCACATGGACAGTTAATGGTGTTAGTGTTGTATAATTCTCCACCGGTCCATTAGCAAATGTCCAGATGTGTTGCTGAGGAGCTCTTCATGTCCATTAATAATGAGGATAGGCCCTTCTTCGTTCCCATTTTGTTGAAACTTGTCGGGACACATCATCTGTCTACTGGTAGCCGGAACGCCCTCCAAAAAATCGTTGTTGTTGTGGTCGTCATAGAAACGATGTAATCCACTTGCGCACAAAGTTTCACCTCCATGTGTGCTGTACTTAGCGAGTTTGAGGAGTGAAGAAGTAATTTTAATGAAAAGTGCCTGAGGCTTTTTGTTGTTGTGGTCGTCATGGAAACGATGTTACACACATGCATACCAAGTTTCATCTCCATGCGTGGTACCGTTAGCGAGTTTGAGGAGTGAAGAAGTAATTTTAAAGAAAAGTGCCTGAGGCTGTTTGTTGTTATTTACAAACATGTATTGTTGTGATTTTGATGTTGGCTATTGAATACATTGTGTATACAAACTTCGCTCACGTAACTCTTACCAATTGTGAGTTACACTGACACATGTAGTATGCCCATATAACGTATCACTGTGTGTTAACAAGAGCTGCCGTCTATAGTGACAGTCACCAACAGCTGGAAAGCACCCAAACAAGACAGGGGACTTTGAAACGTGTTTGCATGCAGAGAGTGGAGCCAGGCTGCCTGAAATTAGTCCCTGGTCCATAGACCACTTTCCATAAAGCGTGTATGCTGTATTAAATAAGCACCCACTGGAAAGTGGTCTGTGCGACGGGCCTAGCTATGTTACGGCGCAAGCATTCTGGCGCAAACACTAATTTTACTGTGGGGCAGAGCACTGACCACACCAAGTAAACACACTCTTACTCTGCGCGCAACGCGTAACAAGCTGTAGCCAACATACTCCTTATTGAGCGCATCATTTAGAAAACGGGAGTGACCACAACTACTTATACCATGATTTGGCCCAAAAACGAGATTTATGATTTTTACCGTATACACCTGGAACTTCAAATATTACATGAAAACAAGCCAATTTACAAGAAAAACAAGCTATAAATAGTTGTTTATTCACCTTGTTTTTCATCTTGCTCTAATGTAAAGAGAAAGAATAAACTAGCTAAGGAAGCCAGGTGTAGGTGCACGGAAAACGCTCAGAGCGCATGTGGCGTGAAACTGGGGTGTGGTCGACGGCACGACACGGGCGGGCAACCACTGTCGACGGCCGAAGGCAGGCGGCTCGATGCACGGCATAACCGCTACGTCTCCAACGTTAGCGAGTAAGAAATCGATGGCCAGGGAGACACTGGTAAGGCCCCCTTTGCGGTAAGCCCCGCCTACCTGCTTCTCTGCACATAATGGAATCATTCAAAACGACGCGCACGGTTGTACAGGTTAGACGCTGGATTCCTCGGAGAATACGTAAAATCAGGGGTCAGGTAGGAAGAACGGCACCATGTACTAAATCAAAGGTGCGTGGTCCTACGTGAGAGGGGTGTGCTCATACGTGCACATAACGCGCGTGAGTGGAGCGGCACCGCGTTCTAAATGAAGGGACGTGGTCGTCCGTCATGCACATGTCCTTGTTAGCATCGTACGAAGGTTTTCGCTAAAGAAAGATGGTGTTTCGCAATATTAAAGAAAGCTGGAGCGTTTCACAACATAGATGGC